AGGAGCCAGGACAGCTGTTTGAGGAGCAAGCAGAGAGCCAGGCCTGCCCCATGCTGATGGGACTGGTGGGGCTGGGCCCTTCCTGTCTCTTCCCTCAGGAATCCCCGCCAGCCACGGGGGTGGGGGGGGGTGGGGGGGAGATGATGCTCAGGGACCAAGAACAGCCTCCTGCACACCCCCCAGCCTGCCCGCTCGTCCCTGCTGACCTCAGGGCTGACGGGCCTCATCCTCATCCTCCAAACTTCCCGACTTCCCGACTCGGGGTGTGGGACTCTCTGAGTCTAGGAGGAAGCAGCTGCTGCTGGCAACTCGGAGCTTCTGTAGGGGTCACCCCACCCAGTCTGGGGGCGGGCTGAGGGGTGGGCCCTGGGTTGGAGGGCTGGGCCAGGCCCTCCCGCAGAGCCACCTCACCACCCCCAGCAAAGTGCCCTCGGCAGGGGGTGGGGCCTGGGCCGGAAGTGCCCCCCACCCCCCCAGTCAGCACTAGGGCAGGGCTTTGTGGCTTTATTTGGGCTGGGGTGGGGGTGGGGTGGAGGCAGTGCAGGGGGCAGGCCTGTGTGGTACTGGAATCTGGGCATCTTGGGGCTGATACCCAGGGAGCTACTTGCCCCCCACATGGCTGCACGAGGACATTTGGGGCCCTGGGCACTTTCGCCTTTGTGGGTGGGCCCTTCCTAAAAAAACATTTTTGTTCTTTTTTTTAAAAAAAATATTTGTATTGATTTTAGAGAAGAAGGGAGCGATAGAAACATCAGTGATGAGAGACAATCATTGATCGGCTGCCTCCTGCACGCCCCCTACTGGGGATCGAGCCCACCACCTGGTCATGTTCCCTGACTGGGAATCCAACCGTGACCTCCTGGTTCACAGGTCTATATTCAACCACTGAGCCACGCTGGCTGGGCAAAAAAAATTTTTTTTTAAATATTTCATTTATTGATTTTAGAGAGAGAGGAAAGGAGAGAGACATCGATGTGTTGTTCTACTTATTTATGCATTCATAGGTTGATTCTTTTATGTGCCCTGGCCGGGGATTGAATAAAAAATTTTTTAAAAATATATTTTACAACTATGTTGGTATAAAGACAAACACTCCAGACTGAATCCATTACATATTCATTATTTATATATTTTTCTTCTATTAAAAAATTAAATATTTATGGGCCTCTAAAGTCCTGTGGTCTAGGCCCCTGCCTAGCTTTAGGGACCTGTCTGAAAGGCACTGTGTTCATGGTCAGGGCTGTGCTGTCACCCTTTGTCCACTTGCTGGGTCAGCGGCTGTGTCTGTGAAGCCCCAGCTAGTGGCCGTCGGGGCCTCTGCACAAACCAGCAGTGTGTGTGTGTGTGTGTGTGTGTGTGTGCGCGTGTGAGACGCTGTTATCTTGTGACTGTGAGGCTTGTCGGGTGACCACACGCCTGTTCATTCCTTATGATTCCACTTGTTGGCTGATTCAGAAACTAGTGATTGACACCCACTGGGTGCGCAGGCCCAGGCTCGCCTGCCAGGGCGGTGGAGGAACCAGCAGGTCCCTGGCTCAGGTTCAAGTGCTGCCTGGGTCTGCAGCCTGGTCTGAGCCTGAGCCAGTGGCATGGTGGCCACCAGAGCAGTGGCACAGCTGGCTGCCACCTGGGCTGGGTCCTCCAGGCTGGCGCGGCTGGAGAGGAGGGTCCAGGGTGCTGTGGGCACATCAGCTGCAAGCTGAGCACAGGATCTGGCCAGAGGTGGTGGCTGCTGAGCCTGTTCGGAAAGCTGGGTCCCAGAGCGATGAGCATCAGGCCCAGGGCACCCTGGACCCCTCGCCCTGAGGCTCCGTGCTGCCTCCTGCTGCCCCGGCAGACCTAGTGCTGCGCTTGGCACAATCCAGCCAACCAGCAGGCAAGCATTCTTGCTGGCTCGGCTCGGGGCAAGGGCAAAGCTCCAATGGAACAGCAGGAAGCAGCGGGGTGCCTGCGGCCCTGCCCCACCCCAGGGCCCCACCCACAGCTAGCTTCTGCAGGGTGGGTCTGGTCCAAGTGATGTGTGTCTGGGGTCCGAGGAATAGAGTGAGGAAGTAAAATGGAGTCACTATAGTCAAGCTGTTAAAGTACCACAATCAAGTAGGTTGAGCCGTGAGGGAAGACTGCGTTCTGTCTTACCTGGCCTGCGACCTTAAGGTTTTGAACTTTCCTGTCCTGCATCAAGGCCTAGACCTACCTCAGACCCCCAGACGACCCTCTGCTTACCCCCTGAAGGACTCCCCATCCCCAGAGCACCAGACGTGAACTGACCTTGCTGTCCACCGTCCAGGCCACACATCTGATAACCATCTCAGGCCAATCCAGAGGCTCAGGCTGCAGAAGTGATTCTTCTTAAGAAATGTACTTCTTAAGCTGCTCATAGGTGAGCCAACTTCCAGGTCCAGACCTGCCTGCTCTCTCGCTGGGCACACCTCAGGCCTGGTCACCTCACTCCCCACCCCCCACCTGGCCATCTCCTGGCTGCACTTTCTCCAGGTGTCTTCCCGGTCCCCCAGGGGGTGATGGGAGGTGCTCACAGGTCTGTATGGAGGGGTCAGAGTGTGTAAAGGAGGTCACACGGGTGGGGGACCAGAGCTTCGCATGTAGGGGGCTGTGTGTATGCGGACGTCATAGCTACATAGGTGGGACGGTCCCAGCCGCGTGGGAGGGGTCATAGGTGTGCCTCCATCACCGGGGTTGGGGGGTGATGTGAGTTGGATTACATCTGTGCGGGGGCGGTCAGAGCTGCCCTCTCCATTGGCTCCATCATCTCATGGTCTCATTGACCAACGCCCAAATCTTCTCTCTAGCAGGTCTGTTCCCACTGAGCCAGGAGCGCCGGGAACCCTTTCACCTCGGGACCCTCCTCCACCAGGGGCCTGACACTGCCCTCCCAGGGTGACCACAGCCCCTTCTCTCTGTTCTCTGCCATCACCAGGCGGAGGGACAAGGATGGCTTGACAGCCTGAGTGGACACTGATTCAATGGCACTTGCTTTCGCAGGCTCTGCTCCCCTAACCACGACCCCCTCGCCCCGCTTCTCTGGGGAGCGCTCTCCTGGGTCTTCATGTCCAGTGTGCACCTCCCTCTACGCTGCCATCCGCACAGGGACAGGGACAGGGAGCGGTCTCCATGGTGATTCCCGGCCGCATCCCTCGCGGCTGGCCCGGCGCTGGCAGGTGCGTGTGCTGTTTACGGAGGAGCAGGGAGACGGGCACCACCCTCGGCAGCCAGGCTGTGCGGCTCCGGGTGCCCCTCCTGCCTCTGCCTGATAGAGGCCTGGCCACATCCAGCCCCGTGCTGGCATCCCCGCGGCGTTCAGCTTCCGCCACCTTTGCCCCTGCTTCGTTCCTGGCGCTGAGTCATCGTGACTAGGACAGGGGCACCGGGTGCGGGTGGGGTGGCTGAGGCCCGGGAGACCCACCCAGGGAACTCCCTTCGGGGGCAGGGAGTGGCGCAGGGCAGAGCAGGTCTGACTGCTCCGACGGCTCCTGCTCTCCCGGGGGCAGAACAGGGCTGACCTGGAGGATGTCTCTGCTCCCAGGCCCTGGGTACCCCTCTTGCCCCATCAGGTGACTGCAGTGCGACAGGGACGGGACTTCAGAATCCAGACCCCAATCCCTTCTTGCCTCCTCCGACCATACCCGGTGGAGGACTGTGGCCCAGAGGGGTGAGGGGTGAGGGGTGTGGCTGGAGTCCACTGCCCGGGAGCTGTGGGAACGGAGGGAGAGGTGGTCTGGTTACTTGCCCAGCTGGGGAACATCAAACATCCACTCCCCGTCTCTCCCTGGGTGGGCAGGCGAGGCAGCCGGCACCAGCCCAGCTGGGCTGCAGGGCCAGAAGCAGCGAGCCGTCCCTCACGGGAGGTTGGGCTCCACTGCATTCCAGTCAATCCGGAGAAAGCAAGGC